AGTTCGACAAGGATGCCCTATCTCTCCGTTCCGATTCAACTTTGCCATTGAGGATGTCCTGAAGAACGCTCTGGGTGATTCGTTGAACGCTGGCGTTGAGCTCCTCCCAGGTAGTCGAGTTGTTGATTTGGATTATGTTGATGATATCGTTTTGCTGGGTGACGATCCAAAGGTCGTCCAACTTGCATTAAACCGCTTGGCGATTAAAGCATCAAAGTACGATATGTAATTTTCGCCATTCAAATGCAAGGCTCTCTTCCAAGACTGACAGGTGCCTCTGCCTGCACTCACTCTTGCTGGTGAGACACTAGAGGTTGTGGAGAGATTTGTCTACTTGGGAAGTTGCATCACTGATGGCGGGGCTGTTGGAGACGAGATTTCGATGCGCACATCGAGAGCACGCCTCGCTTTTTCTAAGCTGAGGCACTTGTTGTGTCGCTACGACATTCGCCTCTCCATCAAGGGCCGGGTCTATTGTGCAACTGTTCGTGCTGTACTGTTGTACAGATGCGAGACCTGGCCCATTCGTAAAGATGCCTTGCGCAGGCTATCCGTCTTCGAGCATCGCTGTCTGCGGTCCATTGCCCGTGTGTGGTGGCAGCACCACGTAAGCAACGTGGAAGTTAGACAGCGTGTCTTGGGACGTGGAAGCCACTCGCTCGAGGAGCTCGTCCCACTGCATCAACTGCGGTGGTTGAGGCACGTATTGCGCGTGTCTGTCCAGCCTTACCCGCGTCGTGCGTTGTTTGCGGTTGCTGAACAGGGCTGTAAGAGACGGTCTGGTGGACAGTCTACAACATGGAGAAGCCGCATGAAAAAGCTAACGAAACAGTTGGCCTCGGCTGGTTGTTGTCGACTACCTGGTTTGGGTCCGAGAGATGCGGATACTTGCTGGTTGAAGACCTTGGAAGCCATGTTTAAAGATCAATGTAAATGGCGGACGTGTGCATCGGTGTGTTGCAGTGTCCCTTCTTCCTCCCCTTAAAAAAAGAACGAACTGAAAATATTTCGAAAACTGTGAGTGGTAAAATAGACAAAAAAGCATTTGTTGTTGCTCTTTTCTTATTATTCATATTGTTTTCCTATTCAGCCATGATTCCGATGGCACAAGATCTGTACCACAGATTGTGTAATATATATATATATATATATATATATATATATATATATATATATATATATATATATATATATATATATATAGCACCAAGCCACACAGTTACTGTCTATTTTGCCAGTTTATTTGCTTTCCTATTCTGTGCTTCCTATTTGAGAATCCCGGTGTGTCTGCGCTTGAGATGAATGTTGACAAGCCGCTTACCAGTGGAAAAATCGTTACTTCTATTACACTGCCTCCACAAGACAGTTAGTCGTTGCTTGGGGCGATGGGGCCCACGGTCCTAGTAGCCCTGCTAGGTTCAACGACTAGTCCCTTCCAGAGTGGAGCAAGCCACAAATCAACCCAACGCCTTGTATACATCTGGTAAACATGATTCCCAAAGTAAATAGATAAGAATGCTGCTACGCATGTTGGAGTGTGTGGGTCGGCTACGTTGATGAAATGTGGTCTCAATCCACCTGTCTCCTGGTCTTATTCCTTCGGGTTTACATTAGAAATTGAATGTGTAAATGGAGATGTGCGTGATACATCGCAAGCCACTCTGTGTGGAGGCACTGACATCCTGTGGCTGTCTCCGTGGAGGCCACAATGGCAGGCAAATCCAGACACAGATGCTGCAGAACACAGTGTCGTTGTCGTAGCCCGTTGGTGGGTTGTCAACAGATAAGAGAAAACAGCCGTGAGTAGTAGGTTTATTGTGGTAACGCTTCATACGGGTTGTTTAGTATGTTTAGTCCATTTTCCATTGCTTTGAATTCTAGAAATTTTCACTACCAGTTCCCTGGCCGTCGTTGGTGTGCGCGTCGTTCAATAAGTGTGTATCAAACTGAAATATCTACTTCATGCAAGCATTTCGCTTCACGAATTTCAATAAAGCAAGAAGAAACAACATTTTATCAGAATTTACTGAATTCAACAATTTCGCGTGTTCTCTTCAGCTGTTTACATACAATTAGTGGAATCCACTGGCTACATACCAGACAATCAAAGTGTGATGTTAACGGCAAAAAATTCAATGCGGTCGTGGGCCCTTAGACTCATGTGACCCGTAATCCCTAGCCTCAGCAGGGAAGGGCTATCGTGGTCAAAAACCCGTTTGCTTGCACAGATCTGGTTTCAGGCGCCGAATGGCTGACGCCTCCGCAAATTGAAGTAAGCGGGGAGTAGCATGTTCGGTAACTACTCTGAAATTGGCCACGTGGGTTTTGGCATTCAGTGCAGTCAACTATGTGGTGAGCAATGGAGTTAGTCGGTAGCTTCGGGCCATTAGCTATCATCTTTCGCTGAACATGCTCTGCAATCCTCGCTGACAGCCTTCTCTCCGTTCGGTCTAGGTAATTGTTACCACAATTACAATTAAAGAGGTAAATGCATGAGGCGGTAATTTGAGATTCCGATCGGTCCAGGTTGGATTTACAGAGCAATCTTCTGAATTGATGCAGTACTACTGGCTCAGCCGCATAGTAACACTTCTTAATTGACTGACGGAGGCGATGCCGGCATCTTCGGTCAACTTGACCTCTTTTGAACTGCAGTGTAATGAATACCTATTTCTTCGAGACATACATACATGCATACAAATTTGGGTTTGTACGGGATACTGGAAACATTATTAATAGCCTCGGTCAACTGTTTTATTTTATGACCGGCAGCCGTGGGAAATCTAAAAGTAGAACGCAGTAGAATACAGTTGGATGGGAATACCAACTAGAGAGAAAGTTCTAGATAGTTGCGAGCTATTTGAAAGACGGGAATCAGTTTAATATCGTCTGAATGTAGATGGCGCATTCACCACCGTGTTTATGCAGACGGTCTTTTAAGAAAGACGTGGGGAGTAAGCAAATTCAGGTTCAATAAAAGGGAGCGAATCTTTATTATGGTAGAATTGTGGGAAGATATCGCAATATAAGGTGCGAGGAGAGCTAGATGTAGCTGTTATCCAGCATGATTACAAGCGGCTTGCTACAGTGGGAAGTATGTGTTTTGGAGATCGGTATGTTTTACAGGCTTCAACGAACTAGAATATTCTATTTCTTAACTAAATCCTCATTTACTTTTTGAGGTTTGTCGGTGGAGGTTCAATTGGGGTTGATAGAAAGGTGGTATCCTAACATATATTCATTAGTAAAGGCTTTTGAGACTGTTACCTAGGAGTGAGTGGTGGTGGGCACACAATTGTAGCTGAGATATTTGTGGGAGTGCTATTACTAATTGCGCAGGCGACGCTCTGAAAATTTCCATTGTTTTATCGCAGGATGCGAAGGCACTGGGGTTAGGTCTTCATTAGTTTTTCCCATCAGCTGACACCGAAAAGAACTGTGGAACGGGGTGTATCTAGGCGGTTTTCTGACACTTATTATACATTCGGCCTTACTGTCAAAACCTTTATTATACTTTAGTTGATGTAACGGCACATTCCGACACCCTATTGTGTGTTGTTGTGATATCCCTGAATAATTGACCCTGAGGAGGTTTCCTTGCTCCATCGTTTACTCTCCGAGGTGACAAAAAAATACATTATTAGGTTTAATCAGTGAAGTATCATTGCTATTTCCTTAGACTTTAATATAGAATTCTTCAACGGTTACCGTGCGTATGGCATATAAGTGCGTTACATGTAGATAGGACACAGGGGACCAGATCGATGAAAACAAATAAATAAGTGGGCGTATTTCCCGACGGGCGAGAAACACTCTCTTTTGTGGAACAATAATTTATGCTGCGAGTCGCGTCAACATTTCATTTATGAGCTTGTGTTTAATTTAGGTCAGTAACGCAACGGTGTGTGGAATTTGTAATGAACAACATCATCAGAAAGTCACCTTTCACATTATTATTATTATTATTATTATTAATATGGCGGGATTCCATCACAAAACTCGTAGGTTGCTGAAGGTCAAAACTGGAACCACATTTGGCATGGAAAGAAAACGTTTAAGATGGCATCTAAATGTAGACAAAGTATGGTTGATCCTTCATTGTACCGGTAATTTGTTCCAAAGATGAGTGTACTTCACCAATAAGAAATTTAAGCGGATACATTGTTTGGTATTCCGTAGGAACAGTAGCAAATTCTCATTACGAGTGAGACAGGTTGAGCTATCTTATAAAACGGCTACCATATTGGTTGTGAAGTCCGGCGAATAGGTGGAGCAATGCATTACAACATGAGTTGTTGTGGACGTAGTAGGTAACAAGACGGGGGTGGATCATCTTGGTATCCTTACGGGATCAGCTAACACCTTGAAGTTCCAAAGCTGTTGCACCACCAGTAATATTTTAATTGCATTTAGCATATTTGCCTGAGTGAATTGTATTTTACAACACTGTCGTAAGACCTCAAAATAGCGGGCATTTTTATAATGGTGTTTCAAACTTGATAAGAATGCAACAGTTTTCTGCGAAACCAGTCCACGGACACAGTAGTAATTTATCGGCTTACATATATGGGGTGCATGTGTAGTCCAGAGTCGATGGCACACACCGCCATCTGGTAGTGTGTGCGTGCCCGTCACTCATGTGGTCGAAATTGGTCGAATCGTACAACGACGCGCTGTTGGGTTTGCCAAGACACACAGCGAATACATCCATGGATAGACACACAACACCATCCCACTGGGTCTTGGCTACACGGTGAACAATAACTGGTTTTCTAAGGAGCCTTATTACGTGTTGAGAGGAATGTTTGTTGATGGCAGTGAAGAAAAAGAAAGCAACTGAAGCACCTTAACAAATGGTAAGTCATCAGCAACCATTTTCATCCTGTTATTCGCGGAATGCATATTTTTGACAATCCTACTAATTTCAGATGTGGCTAACTGTAAACACTTAATTTCGGACGACCAGCTTATGCGCATCATATTCTCTTCCGTTGTTTTAGCTTCCTCATGTGCTTACCAACTGCGACTTGCAAACAGCTCCGGATTACCCCGTTTCGGTTTGATTCCTGGTGGTCGGCAGAGTGTTAGTTCTTCCGGTAGCGGTCCCACCCTTTGTCGTCATGCAAGTTCGTTGAGTCAACGCTCGTCATGTTCTTCGCTGTCTGGAACAACGTCCAGCTGTTCCACACCCACGGGCATTGTAACCGATGTAGCGAGGTTGCCAGCAGTTCCACAACACAGTTCACTCAAGTCAACACCCAGTTCCTCTGCTGCACTTGGGAATTGCCAAACTGTCGCTTCTCTCACTGAAAGACCATATGGAATGACTCATCCACCCGGTTATTCCGGAATTTCTTGTGGTGCAACACCGCAACCACAGCGGCCCGTTCGGCCCTCAAATCAGTCAGAATGGCTTGGAGCAGTGGTTGATTATCCTCACCTAACGAATGACCTCAATCCAACACGTGGTGCCCATCATGAAATTTCGGCTCCTCCTCCTCCACAGTTGCATCGATCCGGTTCTTCCAGAGGTTTGAAGGAATCCGGAGGAGGTCAGCGATCGTTGAGTACCGATGCGTCATCGAGATGCAAACAAATGTTGCCGAAGAGAGGCAAAGTAGCAGAAGCAGCTCCAGGATTTTGTAACAGTTGCTCCACGTGCGGTGGGACACAAACTGAGGCTCGTGCTTGTGTGTCCAACCCCTCCTCTGGGATGCAACATTCAACACAGAATTTAAATCAGTTATGCTCTGGACTGCCTTCAAGAAACTCAACTGTGCGCTCACGGTCACTAAGGGAGTCCACAATTATGTTGCATGAATGTGTACAACATCCACCACACGAAAGATCACAGAAACCATTCAAATCCCTAAAGGCTAGTCAGAATGGTATCGAATGCAGAAAACCTCTACCATACAACGTCCGTAACAGTGAGCCTCCCTCTAACACACGATCGGCTCAGCAAACTCAATGTAAATCCAACACGGTACAGGCGTACTTGAACACACAAAAGACTCCTATGCATCATGCCCCACAGAACTTTCCGTTTCACTCTCGCCATACAGCCTCCTGCACGCCAGGAAGTGATTCATTACAAACTACACATTTTGAATCCCCAGGCGAACTGACAAACCGCTTGCTTGATGCATGTGCCCAGTCTCAACAACTCAGCTCGTATACAACCTCTGCAGTCTGCACATTAGCGTCAGCTATCACCAACACTTTTGAATCGATGTCGAACGAATTTCGTGCCTCACACCTTTTGGAAACGTCTTCCACCGTTTCGTCACACAACCATTGTTCTTCCAACAAGCCCAATGTGACGGGGCTTGTTGATTATTCGCCCGGATTCCCAGCAAAGCAGACGAGTATGGATGAGATCAGTATGATTGTTGGTGCTCAACGAAAACCCTACAGCAGCCCTTTGACCGTTCCTAAGAGACTGCCCACTACCTTGCTACCGAATTCGCACTCTGCCGGTTCCAATCTCTCGACAGTCGACGAGAAACCGTTTTACGACAGTGGCATTTCGTCGTCCTCCTACTCAAAAGACAGCGCTTGTACTTCTCCAGCGGAGAACTCAATCAACAAACCAGTCGTGCATCAAGTGAATGGAAACCAAGACTTGTCCCTTTCGTGGCAAAATCCAGCGGCACGAACGGACGGAGATCAACGGAGTACGGATTATCTAAGTTATTCAGGATGCAACGCAAATTCTGGACCAAGAATAATAAACGATTCCGTTCAACCTGCGAAGTCAACCGAACCATCTTTACATCTGTGCAACCAGCCGATGTCTGGTGGAGGAAAGTCCAAGTTGCTGCCGCCGTCTTCGGCCATGCATCCAACTAGCCCATACGCGCAGTTATCCAGCGGAATGGATCCTATCAAACTTATCTCACGCCACAAGGCCAGTGAACTTTACTCGTTAGTCAAAAGTCGTGAGGACGCAAGAAAGAACAGTACTACTCGGGGTTCCGAACACCAGAATGTTCTCAAAACGGAATCAAGCTCGCAGTCATCTAAGTGTAATTCCGTTTCATTAAGACCACAGGGTTTAACGAAACAAGCCATAACTCATTTCACTGGACATGAGAGAAATACGGCAGTCTGTTCGGAATCCAAGACAGTGTCCACTACTGCTCTCACGGATGGTTTCGACTACGTTAAGCAATTAAATACTGCAATCAAGTGCCAATCACACAATAGCAACTCAAATCGCCATTTTCAGGAACACAACACTGTAACCACCGGGGACGAAAAACATGACAATCCAATTTGTGTAAACTCGCAACCAAGCAGAAGCGATGGTATACCTTTGCCCACTGAAAATGTCTCATCAGCATTGACCTCTCATCAATCTTCCGTTTTACAACAACAATGCACGACTATGAAGGATTTAACCGGAGACAAGTGAGTTGTGGGTTTAACAATGGATTGGTTCTGTTGATTGCTTATAGTTCATTTATAAAAATGCGAGCAGAGCAAGCTACTGTAATGCACGCAAAATATAAATTAAAAAACACCTGCAAAAGAAAGCAAATTCCACTAGATGCAGTGGTGTCTTAACACCGAAAAGTTTGCGCTCCAGCGAACTGCTAATCCGATCATGCTGGTAAAAGCACCGAGCCGAAGCTGTTTATAGGGCAAGGGAAATGGACACTTAATGGAGTATGCATATCGGAGCCCGTTTAAGGTGATCCACTTTTTCTCCCCAAGTATATTCGCTACTAACACATCATTGTAGTAGTAGTAGTAGTAGCATGATGGGAAATTTTGTAGCTACAAGAGTTTCAAGCACTTCTCGAGGTTCTATAAGTTGCATTTGCTGTACGAAAAATAAATATATCGGCAGCCGACACGGTAGCAGAGGAAGGCGCGTTATTACGGTTAAAGATACATAAACGAACTACAATTTACTTAATATTCACTACGTACTAGGGCAAGCCAAGGCAAATTGTATCATGAGGAATGTTGATAATACTACTATTTTTGCATATCTTCAAGCCTTTACACTACTTCTTTGCAGCACGGAAATGTACATTTGATTGATTTTAGTTTGACGCTTTGTTTGAACCGAGATCTGCGATGTCTGAAGGTAAACGAGTTTTATTTCGCTTTAAATTCTAGTGAGAAACATCTTTTTTCTTGCATTTGTTTTATCAACCGGGTTATTATTTAATCTATGTATACCAACCCTTTTACTGACAAAAGTATTTCCTTTTATCTTAATGTTCTATAAAAGGTTCCATTGTACATGATACCTTTTTTCTGACACAGAGGGCAGCGGGACATGTTCTAAAAGTGATGGTAGAAGTTTAGTTAAACCTCATCTTAATTAATCAAATTGTACTATCTTCACCAGATGTAACTAGCACTAATTCAACGGCTGCATGTCCAACTGGAACGTGGCAGCCAGTTAATCTATAACTCGTGATGAATTCGCCACGAGCATGGAGACAGACTGTGAGAAAGGGTGGACGAATGCTCAAAGTGCCTTGTTGACCGCTATTCAAGTAAGGAGCATACGGTCGGAATACAGAACCCAGGACAATGAGAAGAAGATTAGTAGTAACGTGAGAGGTAAAGGAGGCCTAACCTTGAGCATAAGCAATCATAACACGAGGAAAGGTGATATTTGTCTGCTAGTTAAGATGGATAGTTTTGTCTAGTGTGCATGGCACGCTTTAAAAATGGTTGGATTTCAGCATCTTGGAAAATACTTGGAACCAAACGAGAACTCATGATTTCAGAAAGGTATAGGTAGAAATTCGTCACCTCTAGACTCACGCAAACAGCCATCACACACCCCGGATAGCACTGCACGCTCGTTTCATCCTTTCGAGAATCATCAGAAGTGCGCATTGTCCTGTTTGAAAACAATCGATTGGTATGGTTTGTAAGCAACGTTTCGCTTTGGACACAAAAGATTCGTCAGGCTGATTTAACCAGTCGAGGTTTGGTATAGAGCACTTGGAAGACAATCTCCACGAATGGGTTGTAGGCAAAGCGTCAATCGAGCTACAGAACAACTCATCACTCCAAATAGCGTATTGGGCGGTCACAAGTGGTCCGCTTTACAAGGTCCCGCACGTAAGCCCTGTTAACAATAGGTGCGGGGATGACGTAGTGTTCATTATCTGCCCTGGATCCGTCCTCCGGCGCTTCTCAGACTGGTAGGGTTAAGACAGTCCGACAGGTGTTCGAAAGCTCTGCCCCTTCCACTCTGTTCACACAGCTGTTCACCTTGCTAATTTTAACCACCTCAGTAGTCAGCTTTTTTGGCTTTGTTCGTAACCCGTTACTAACGATTTCGGCGTTATCCAAGTCTATCTCATGTCCTGTATCTATCGAGTACATCGCTGATACCGATTTCCTTAGTAAATCCCTAGGTCCAAGTTCGTTTTTCGACGGCATTGTTATGTGTCTGTTGTGTTCTGCTATCCTTGTGCATAGCTCCCCCTGAGTTTGACCGATGTACACGTGTGCGCAATCTTTGCAACTACTTTTGTAGATGCAATCAACTGTCCTATCGGAGGGAAGTAGTTCCTTCAAGGGCATTAGAGTCAAGCGGAGCGTTTGGTCTTTCTGGAAAACTACACTTATTTTTTTTGCTTAGGACCCTCTGAATGGTTTCCGAAGTTCCATCTTTATAAGGACTAGCTATCGTCCCAATCTACTCCGTAGTAAGCCAAGGGTGAGGATTTAAAAAACCAATAACGGCGGACCTCACATCGGTCGGCACTCCCACACACCTGACTTCCTCGAACCTCTGTGGTCTACTAACCTGTTTGTACACGAATGCTCAGGGCCTCTTCAATAAACTGGCCGAGCAGAAAGATCGCCAACTTTCCCAGAAATATGCAGTCGGAGGCCACAGCCTAAGAACGCGACACAGTTTCATGACGTCTATCATCAGGACACGTGTTGCTAACCGACCGGCGCTAGCAGGGCTAAGTCACGCCGGAAGCTGAAGTCAGTTCGCCCACATCACACCCGTTGCTGCCCTAGTGGCAGCAACACGGCTAAGTCAAGCGGAAAGCTGATGAAATCAGACAGACAGCATGAGACAGGTTGCTGCTTGACAGGGCCGCACGCTATCCAGACAACTCAGGAATTTACAATAGGAGATGACCTTGTGATCTTTAAAATGAACCGTGTTCTGTGCTTAATACACTTCGGTGTTCTATTTTCCGACCGCGGCTGCGCAGAGCAGTTAATCAGAGAGCACAGACGAGGGCAGTAATATAACAGTGACGAGGCGAGTTTCAATCGAACCCAGAACTGGTAGCCAGCATCGAACAGTCGCAGGCACTTTTGCAGCAGCTGGCCAAGATCATTGAGATGTTGACGCAGAAGCTGTCGATACAGTCTAGCCCAGGTTTGGGGCAAGTGTAAGTGCCCTCTTTCCAGAAACGTTAACACAGTAGACCAGTAAATTCCATTATGATGCGGACGCTGCCGTGAGATTCCTTTCCTGGTTTCACAAGTAGGAAAACATGTTTCGTTTTGCGTTCGCAACTTTACCGGGAACCGCAACTTTACCGAGAAATAAATTCGCCTTATGCTCCAGAAGCCGGGTGCGGCTGAACATGATAAGTTCATAACTTTCAACTTGCCAAAAAGGAGCACTGACCTATTCGTGGATGAAGTTCTCTTAGTTCTTTCACAAATTTTGGACGAGCAAACATCCATGTTCAACATCCGGTACAAGTGACTCACGATAGCCAAGCAAAATGACGAAGATTGGGTCACCTACTCGAGCCGTGTAAATCACGAATGCCAACGTTCACGGTTTCACAAAATGCCCGGCGACCAGTACAACTAGCTCATTTACGTTTGCGGCCTGGAAGCAGCCAAAGATGCAGATATACGAACAAGGATACTAAACGTGATTGAACAGAATACAGACATCACATTTCAACATGTAACCGGTGCGTGCCAGAGAATGTCAAACCTAAAGCACGATACATCAATAGTTCAGCAGTTGCCCATTACTAACGAGCATGACCTCATTTGTGCAGTCAACCGGGCTCCCCAAAAAGCAACAACTCACATGAGTCCATCACATTCCGAACCACACCCTCCTTGTTGGTTTTGTAGAGAATGACATTTTGCTCGACACCGTCCATTTAGGAATCACGTTTGCAACGGATGCGGCAGAAGAGGCCATCAAGAGTCGTGTTGTTTGGCTCGAGGTTTCCGTTTGTCCAGAAACAAGCGCAACAATGCCACACCGTTCAGACGGCTCAATGGGATCAGAACAATCACTGCGACTTTAAAGGTTGATGGCGTCAACAGGCATAAGTACACCATGGTGGGAATCATTGGCACGCAAGTCAAGTTACAACTTGATAAGACTTCAGATATCACTCTAATCTCTAGCGACACGTGTCGCAGATTGGGCTGCCGACACTTGTACAAACGACCTAAGTGTCAAGGAATGCTTCACGTGGTACGTTAAAACTGCTTGGGGAATTTAACTGTCGAGTCAGTTTTTGAGGCCAACAAATCTACACAACGTGCTTCGTAACAGATTAAATGGGGTTAGATTTGTTGGGACTCGATTGTATGGACGAACTGAACTTGCTCGACCAGTCAATAAACAGTATATGCCAGCAGTTGCAAGTCAAGCAAGCTACGCGGATGTCAAAATGAACTCTGAATTGCGCAACCATATTGCAGATTTGAAGCGACACCATGGAACAAACCCGGTCTCGGACGTTGTAGTGTAGCCAGAGCGGAGCTGGACCTCAAATCATATGTCAGACCAGTCTTCAGACCAAGACGCCTGGTTCGGTACGCAACTCAATCTCTGATGGAGGCCGAGCTAAATCGTTTGCAATCCGAGGGTATAATCGAACGCGTCTACTATTCAGAATAGAAGACACCGGTTGCAGTAGCAAATAAAGCGAACTGTAAGGTCCGTATCTGTGCTGATTTTTCAACTGGACTGAATTCTGCGCTGGAGACACATCAGTACCCATTGCCTGTACCAGAAAACTTGTTCCCCAAAATCAACAGTGGCAAATGCTTCGCAAAACTTGACCGGGCTGAGTCTTACTTGCAAGTTCCAGTTGGCGATGAATGCGGAACCTTACTAACAGTTAATACGCACCTCGGGCTTTTCCAGTACAACCGGTTGCCATTTGGGGTGAAAACCGCACCAGCCCATTTTCAACAAATTATGGATGGCCTGCTGAACAATATCTCCAATACCGCGGTCTACATGGATGATGCATGGATCATGGGCGAAGACCCGCAAGATTGGATGTACATACTGAAGAGAGTGCTTGTACACTTGCAAGAAGCTGGATTTTGATTACCGGCTGCGAAATGTGTTGAAGTTAGGTAGGGTTAAATTTCTTTGGTTTATCAAAGACCAACATAGCCAGGGCCCAGATACCGCCAAT